TATATATATCTATGTATAACTGAATCACTTTGCAGTACACTTGAAACTAACACAACATTGTAAATTCATTATAGCTCAATAAAAACAAACAAACAAGCGGAAAAAAAAAAACAAAAACCCTCTGTCTGAAGATGCTGGACTCCATGATCGCTCTCCATCCTCGAGGCTCTAAAATTCTATGTACCATCCTCTGAGCTTTGATTCCAGGAGCTATTTATTTTGAGCATCAGTTACTGCATAGCCCATAATCAAGGATTCAACTTCTCTCGCTGCTGGTGTCTCCTTCAGAGAGGAAGTAGACCCGTCGGGCTTTGTGAGCTGGCGTACTCCCCTCTTTAAACATAATTGCGTCCCCGCCCTAGGGACTGGGCTGAGAGAAGGAGAGGCTTTCTTCCTAATCCATATGTATACGGGTTTGTAGTCCTTGCCCTTGACAATTATATCAAAAGGAGGATATTTTGCTAAGGTGGAGTATTAGTTTTCCATGGTTGCTGTAACAAATTACCACAAACTGGGTGGCTTAAAACAACTGTGATTTATTTTCTCACAGTTCTGGAGGCCAGAAGTCTGAACTCAAGATGTTAGCAGGCTTCAGGCTCCCTCCAAAAGCTCTAGGTGAGAGTCCACCCTTGCCTCTTTTAGCTTCTGGTGACCCCCGACGTTCTTTGGTTTGTGGCTACATCACTCCAATTTCTGCCTCTGTTTTCTCCTCTTCATCTTTACAAGGGCACTTGTCATTTGGATTTACAGAGCACTCGGGTGATCCAGGATGACCTTATCTAGAGATCCTGACTTACTTACATCTGCAAGTTCCCTTTTTCCAAATGAGGTCACACTCACAAGTTCTGGGAGATTGGATATTGACATATCTTTTGGGGGCTACCATTCAACCCACTGCAGGGGGCATGAATGTTGGGCTACTGGCTCTTAGATGAGCTCTAGAGTGTCAGTGATGGTGGATAGAGAGGGTGCTGTGAACAGAGCCAGGGAGAGGGAAGGATGGAAAGAGTGAGGAGTGTGCACATGATCCCTGTTGACCTTGGCTGGTGGCGTCGTCGGCAGTCCTGCAGTTCAGGGAGGGCCATTCTGAGCGCCCGTCTCTCCTCCTTTCCAAAGGACGGTGCTGTATCAGTGAGTTAGGCTTGGCTCTGCTGCAGTCACAAACAACGCCAAAATCTCAATGGTTCATACAAGCATTTTTCATTCACTTGCCTTACGTCTCTGATAGGTTGACAGCAGGACTGCTGCAGGTCACTTTCACTCTGGGACCAGGATGGTGGAGTGGTAGACTGGGAATATGGCCAGTCTTGTGGCAGACGGAGAAGAGTGCATGATAAACCTCGAGCTGGCTCTAGAATCTTCTGCCTGGAAGTGATGGGTGCCTTTCCTGCTCATTTCACTGGCCAGGGCAAATCACATGGCCAAGGTCAATGGCAATGAGGAAGAGAAAGATCAGCTTTTCCCAGGGAAGGGCAGTGAATGTTTATGAACCACAGTAAGGCAAGCCACAGGTGCTGCAGGAACAGCTCCTCTGTCTGCTGAAAAGATGCATAGCTTCCTCTACCACTTCTCACCCAGGGAAGATTGCTGCTCATCCAGGTTTTCTTGAAACCCTTAGCATTCAATTCTCCAGGGATTGTGCTATCTGCATTTTTTGAGTATACCCTACTCGTTATCCTGTACTATGCAGGCCTCCCATCCCTGCTCATTCCCCATCCCCCAGGAAAAAACCATCGGGTTATAGTTTCATGCCATTTTCTGGTAGAGCTGCTGTTGGGACTATACTTTCCAAACACAACCTACATTGAGCGTCTCCAGTCTAGTTATTTCCACAGCAGCTGTGGGAAGAACACTTTGCTCCTTCCTCTGTTTGCAGAGGCTCTGAGGAAATGGTCAAAGGCTTGGCCCTGAAGTCAAGATGGAATCATCTACGGATCCCAAAAGTCTTCAACAATTAAGGCGGAATAGGTCTTAAAGAGGTGGAGTGCAGCTTCCGTGAATCTAATGGTCCATAGATGAAATGCAAGGTTCTGTAAGTTTCTTAAATTGTAAGTATAACTGAGGGAGAGTATATGTCCAGTGGCTGTGCATTTTCTGGGGCCAGGAATCATAGCTTACATCTAATTCTCAAAGAATCTGTGAATCCAAGAAGATTAAGAACCATGGAATCTCAACCATGTACCAAATGGATTGATTCTAATGTATTAGCTGACTTCCTCGAAAGCCTTTTCCCTATACGTTGGTTTTGTTTCAATGAGTTAATTTCTCTAGTATCACAACCTACTCTGGGAGAAAGAAATAGTCTTTGGAAAGTTACACTGACTTTCAAAGCCAGGAAGGTATCCTTTGGTGCATTCCTACCCCAGCAATTATTGCCCTTCCAGTGCCTGCAGAGCTCCCTCCAGCCTTCCCTTTAGTCTCCATGGGGACTCATTAGGTTTCTAATAGCCAAGTGGGAAGACTTACAGCTCTGGCTTACCAGAAGGCCTTGTTTTGGGAATTTCACAGACAGTGCAGCTTCTCTCTTGTAAGGAAATTTACACCCCACGATGCAGAATAGGGAATGACTATGGCAGATGACAATAATAGGATTGCATCAATATTATATGCTTGCCAGCCAAAGAACCAATGTTTTAACAGCACAGGTTATTTATTCTCCTTTATGAAGCTAGTTGGATGTGAATAGTATTTCCTTTTTACTGATAAGGAAACATAGGGTCAATATTTTATTAGCCTCTTGGAGCAGAGATTCTTAACAGGGTCCTTGGATGGGACTTCAGGGGTCTGTGAACCCCTGAAATGACCTGCAAAGACAAGAATAAATTTGTATGCGCATTCGGGAGGGGAGGAGAGAGGGAGGAGCATGAGATTTTCATCAAATTCTACAAAGTTCTGTGACTGTACAAAGTTCAAAACCACTCCCCTAGGGCTTCTATTCTCGTAAAATAACTGGCAGATTAGCCTAATCTTAACGTTCAGCCCTATCTTTGTGAGGTTATTTCCCCCCTTGGTTGCTGACCTCCACGACAGTGAAAAAACTAGAAAGCAAGAACAATCGTGGACGAGTCATATTTAGATAAGTTTCTCTTACCTACCTCTCTTCTGGAAAGTTTAAAATCTTACTTCTACCCATGATCATCCCACGTATGTTAGAGTCCCAAAGACAGAGTGGAAAGAAACCTTAAAAATCATCAGGATTCATGGATGGGAAAACTGAAGCTTAGAACTGAGGCTTAATCACACTCACATAATAAATCAGTGATCAAGTGAATGTTCATTCCTTTCTGCGAAATCAACTCCCATCTCAGTTGGAAACCCCTTGCCAATATTTTTAAACAAATGCCAATTCAATAAGATTCATTTTTCTTAACATTATGTAAATGAGGCAAAGGAGACTGAGTGGCCTTCTGTCCAGGGTGTAGGAAGTGAAGCCTGTCTGGGGCTACACGCTCCCTTGGGACACGTTGTGGTGTCAGAAAAGAGTTCTGGAAGAAGGAGGCCCTTGTCCATTTCTGTTTCATGAGTGAGCCCCTTCTCTTGGCCACAGCTGGAGGCGTGGCTCCCGACCCACTTCCCCCCGGAGAGGGAGCAGAGCGTTAAACCAAAGTGCATCTCCCCAGGACGCCTGACAGGTTCTGCTCTCCCAGAGCTGCCATCAGAACCTCCTTTCCTCCCCAGCCTTGCTTCCCACTGAGGGAAACGTTGACTTTTCCAGGTTAAATGTTCCGAGTCAAATAGTCCCTCCCGTGAGAAGCAGAACCATGGTCAGGTCAGGGGACCAGAGAGGCCGTGAGCTGATGCTGTTAAAGTGTGCCGGGTTTGATCTTTAAAGATATTTAAATGTCTTTCTGCCCCAGAGGCAAACTTTGTTCTGGCTGGAGGGACCCTGGACCTCTCTAACCTCCATGAGGGGTAAAGTCTGGTGTTAATGTCACTAGTGAGCCGTCAGTCACAGAAACTGGCCATGCCCCGGTGTCTTCCAAGCGGACCTAACAGTGTTTCTTCAGAGAGACCTTTGATAAGACACTTCAGAAATGTAGTGATTCATAAGAAAGATGTTATTTCCTACAGACTAGGAAAGTTGGAGGATGCTTTAAGATATTATTCACTCATTAGACAGACAGATGAGGAAACCAGAAAGGGGCAGCTTCCTGAGGGTCCAGAGCCAGGAGGTAGTAGCGCTGGGCGGGAGACTTGGGTCTTGTGACTGAGCTATGTGCTTCAGGCTGCTCTCCACATCACAACTTTCTGTCTTCCTTCCTACTCAGACAGTCTTCCTTAAACTTCAATCTCCAAATTGTACCGATGGTTCATTTGTGGGACCCCAAGGCAAATTTCAAGAACTAAAGAATGCAGATCAAAAGATTTGCCGAGGGCTACCCTGGTGGCGCAGTGGTTGAGAGTGCGCCTGCCGATGCAGGGGGCGCGCGTTCCTGCCCCGGACCGGGAGGATCCCACATGCGGCGGAGCGGCTGGGCCCGTGAGCCACGGCCGCTGAGCCTGCGCGTCCGGAGCCTGTGCTCCGCAACGGGAGAGGCCACAGCAGTGAGAGGCCCGCTTACCGCAAAAAAAAAAAATAATAAAAAATAAAAAGATTTGCCGAATAGCATCTAAGAGACTTTTGAACACACTCTCATTGAGTGGAGAGGGCTGCATCCCGTCCTTGCAATCAGGATAGTGCACAGACCCTAGCCCTTCTGCTTCTACATCCTCTACAAGCCCAGAGCCCAGGGATCCTACTAGGACATGGCCGCAGCCAGCTATCCATCCACACACGTGTCCAAGGCCACTTGTGTGGGAACCCGTTCTCATCACCTCTGCCTCCGGAGACTTCAGATGACACCTCCCCATTCTCCCTTCCCCTGCTCCAGCCCCTCTCCGGTCGTGCAGGAGCCAAAGGGGATTTGTGCAAACAGGCACAGGCCCAAGCCCAACCCAGGCCTGAGGAACTTGACCTGAAGCAAGAGGATAACCCAGGACAACACACTCAGCTCCCCGGACGAGGAGGGGTGGCCCGGCAGCCGGAAAGAAAACTCCTGGACTTTTTATTGAATCCATAAAACAAAAGGTGAAGGGGTTCTGGGGAGGGGAGGAACGTCCGATGATTTATGGCGCTGGTGTGCAGAGGAGGAGAGCAGGGAACTCTGTCCAGCTCGGCGGGCGGCGTGTGATTCATTTCCCCCGGGGCCGCGGGGCCGGGCGGGCGGGCGCAGGCAGCCTGGGGCAGCCGCACACCCAGCGCTCGTTTATTTACGGTGGTTTATCAGCGGCTGCGCGCGGCGATAAAGTTTATGAAAAGAGGCGGCGGCTCCGGCCGGCGGCCCGGCCCGCGCTCCTTTCCCACACTGATTAGGATCGAGCAGGGCTTTGGAAGCTGTAGTTAAGGATCTCGGGTGCCCGGAGCCGCGTCTCCCCCTTCCTGCCCCGCCCGCCCGCCGGCTGCCCGGCTGCTGCCCCGCGTGGGAGCCGAGGTCAGGGTTGCGGCCGCGGCCCGGCCCGGGCGGGGGAGGGGAGAACCGCCCCGCGCGGGAGGGGGAAAGGGAGCGCCCTGGCCAGGGATGCTGGCAAGGAAGAGAAAAATACCATTCAAATAAAAATGCGCAATCCCCGTGTTAAGAGGTAGAAGAGGGATGATGGGGATTTTTCTCCCCTGGAAGTGTGGTGTATTCTCATCCCCTGCGCTTACTTTTTTAGATCTTTCTCCATCATTTCACCTACGTTGTTTTGTCTTTGCATTTGGACTTCAACTTTTCTTTTCCTTTTCATGAGCATATTTTGTTCGTCCCTTCAAGATAGTTATTGAACACCTACTTTGCAGGACACCTCTAAGCATGGGGGTTTTGGCGTGGGGGGAGATTCAAATATGAAGAGGGTGGTCCTGTTCCTCAAAGTTCTCATGTCCACAGGGACAGACAGTCCAGTAAAGTGTAACAGCAGCCCTGGGACTATACGTAGCAGACACTGAGGCCGGCAGGAAGGCAGGTGCCGCTCTAATGCCTTGGCGGCATTAACTTGTTTACCGGGTCAGAGCGACTTTAGGAGGGAGGTGCCATTATTATGCTATTTTACATAAGGTAAAACTATGGCCCAGAGAGGGCCAGTGGCTTGCTTGAGATGACTCAGAAGTCAGTGGCTGAGCCGGGATTTGAACCCAGGCAGAAAGGCCCCGGAGCCTGGGCACCTAACCTCGAAATCTCCCTGACACTCTAGAATAGATAGGGAGCAATGGGAGTGCAGCAGTCTGATGGCCTATCCTTCCTGGGAAAGACGGTAGACAGTGGACTGTCTGCAGGTGGGGCGGGCATCATGAGGGTTGGGCTCAAATAGTAGGTTTTCACAAGACAGGCATGATGGCCAGAGGAAGGCAGTTTTAAACAGAAAGAACTTCTGCTGTCCTGAGTTCTCCAGGCCCAGCTCCTTTCACCTTCCATTTTGTATTTTCTCCAAGGAATGGGAGAGCAGTAGTGCAGAACCTTCATACTGCGTGAAAAGAAGGTCACCTTCCCAGGCCATTTCCTTGATCTGGAAGGCTCTATCTGCAACTGCTGTAATCCTAACAGTTTTCAAGTCTGAAGTGTCATCCCCTCCTGAAAGCTCTCCTGGCGGCTCCTTATTTTCCTGCCAATGACTGAAAGCAATCCTTCCTCCTCCTGTCTCTCACGCTTGCCTGTATGCAGTAAAGCTCGTGGGTTTGGCCTCCATCTGTCCTTCTTACTAGACTGTGAACTCCTGGAGGGCACTGGGATATTCCTTCCCTTCTCACCTGCTTCTGCCCCAGGCCTGGTTTAATATCCTGCACATATGAGGTTCTTACTAACTGCATTTGGTGAATAAATGAGGGAGAGAGAGAAAGCATCTGATCTCATAGGTGTCTCATTTACCCCTCGATGGATTTCATAATCAAGCAAGCTAAAAATGGAGATATGTGTCCCCACCAGAGAAGGTCTGGACCAACTCTGCCAAGAGAACACAAAGGCAGAGTCACCCAAACCCCGAGTCCCTTAAAATCCCTCCAGACTGGGAGTAGGATTAGTCCTGGAGCCTGGGCATAGCAGGAAGTCTTGTTGCCCCAGTTATGGGGAAAGGGCTGTGAGGGACCGGAGCCAGGCACTTCATTGCGTAATCCGTCTTGATTTCAGTGAGGTTTTCCATGGGGCCAGTGGCATGGTGGTGGACATTTGACTCCAAAGGGTAAGGCATAACTACGGGCACCTGTCAGCACCACTGCTAAGGGGGTCAGGGCTGCCTCTCATTCTTTGTTGTATTTTTGTTTGTTTAGAACCAGCTTTTTAAAAATTTAATTGGAAAAGTACCACATGCACATGATTTAAATTTGAAGTGATTCAAAAGGGTATACAATGAAAATTCTGCCTCCAGCATAGACTCCTCAACTCATCACCTCCCTCCCCAGGGGCAGCCATCGTTAAAGAGTTTCTTTTCCTGAGATGCTGTGTGCACATATATACAATATTTTTGTATTTTTTCATGATGACTTAATGAGGTTATTGTGGACATACTCAGTGCACTTGCAGGTGTTGGTGATGTTGGTACGGTTGTTGACACCCTGGAAAAGAAGTTTAATGTTCACTGAGCTTGAGAACTGGAGAACTAGTCTTGTCCATTCTGAGTGATGTTGAGTAATAAAAACCGTGTAGTAGGGCTTCCCTGGTGGCGCAGTGGTTGAGAGTCCGCCTGCCGATGCAGGGGACATGGGTTCGTGCCCCGGTCTAGGAAGATCCCATGTGCCACGGAGTGGCTGGGACCGTGAGCCATGGCCGCTGGGCCTGCGCTTCAGGAGCCTGTGCTCCGCAACGGGAGAGGCCACAACAGTGAGAGGCCTGCGTACCGCAAACAAAACAAAACAAAAAACAAACAAACAAACAAAAAAAACTGTGTAGTAGCAAAATGTAGATATCTCAAATACTATACGGAAGAAGACTGATCTGGCCCATGGGTAGTGGAGAAAGGATCCAAAGAGGCATGCTGGCCACAGGGCAGGAAGTGTTAGGCCATCTCTAGCAAGTACCAGTATGCTGTCAATCAGGGTGGATCCTAAGGAGTATAACTGATGGAAACCAGCAAATTATTTACTAGGTAGGTTCTCATTAAAGTATTTACAAATCTCCTGTTATTTGTACTCTGTTATAGACTGGTAGGAGGGAGAGTCACAGAAGTGAATAAGGTAACTTCTAGTTAAATAACGAGGACCAGAATGCACTCATATGACATTAAAATAAAGATGCCCTCCATAGACTGGTTGACAGAACTGGCATCCTTTAATCTAGACAAGAAAAGGACAAAAGGTAACAATTATATAAGTACCTGGTAAAGGAAGCTGAGCACCCCATGCCTCACTGCCTGAGTGTGACTTCTTAGTGGCACTCTACCCTAAGGTACCTAGGGCAAGGGATCTCCGGCTCTCTGCACAGCCTAAGAGCCCCAGGGCCTGCTCCTGATGGCTGCCCCTAGGCACGCTGCAGCCAGAGCTCTGGGGAATGAGGAAGAAGGTTCTTTGCTCATCTCCCCTCCGTGTGACATTCCAGTAGCGTGGCCCCAAAGCTCTACTGTCTGCACTCTGTTCCCATAAAACTCCAACAAAATTGTCTTTTCCATTTTCCCTTCTGGTCCTGACGCTCTTGATAAAACTCAGATATGAGTCGAAAACGTGTTTAACCAAGGCGTACTTGGGATGAATTGCTTCCAATGAACAAGACTGTCCTCCAGGGTCAACCCGGGCCCCCTCAGGTCTCCTTTGCCCTAGAACGCCCTCCCTCCCAGGAGCCCCTTGGTCCCTCATGCAGTTGTCAGATGTGTTTGGACACGTCAGACTCCAGCTCAGGCGCAAACTAGGACCTAGATCCCCCCTAATAATAACTAGCAAGTGCTTGGTTGTTTTGATGAAAGATCCTGCTAATTGTTCTATAAGGAAGGTCAAATAAGAGGCTGTGGATATAAACGACGGCAGGAAAGATTTTAGAGAGTGAAAAGGGAGGATTTCTTATATCAGGATGATAGGAAGGAAAGTTATTTCAATCTCTCTAGGGAAAAGTCTGCAGTCTTTCTTGAATTGTTCAGGAATAGGAGTCCTAGTTCTTTCCAAGCCAAGACCTTTAAAATCGAATAATAGTGGCTTTCCCCCTAATTCAGGTAATGTAATTTCTCCATGTAAATTTTTTTCCATGCATTTTTCTTACGTCTTAAACCTTTAGCACCTGCAGGCAACAAAACTAATGAACAAGTAGTAAACAGATATGAATGGGGAAACTTGAAAACCACCGATCCTGCTGAGTTTGTTGCTTTTTCTAAAGAACATGAGTGCTTGTGGTTTTCTACTGCCTGCCCATAATGTAGCCATATTTTCTGCTATTAAAGTGGTTCCTAGTTCATGGATGGAATGAAACAGACCATTAATCCAGGGTGTTCCTGGAAGAGCCTCATATTTCAGGAGGCATACCACGACTTTTCACCTTTTCATCCTCCACCACTTGAGTACACTTGAGCTTCGCTATTGTCCACTCTTGAGTATTAGTTTCCGTTCCTTCCCCCTGCCCACCTCTCTCCACCTCTGCTGTTGCACATCATGGCCCAGACTGACTCCCCTCCTCTGCCAGGCTAAAGATAACGTCTCCATCTGGGATATCACCCACAGGCTAAATTTATTCTCAGAGGTGAGTTGGGGCTATCCTGTCCAGTGACTCCAGGCAAACATCTAAGCCCTCAAGGCTGTATGTCATTGAAAGAGATGAAAGGAGCTTGGGAAGGGGAAGGGACCCCTGGGGAGAGAGGGGGAGGGGTAGGAAGGAAAGATGAAGGGGGAGATTCATAGGAAGCTGGCAAAGGGACTTCAGAGAAAGGGTGACACACCGTGACACTGTGACTACAGCATAAGCTCAGTTAGTCTGAAGGATTTGACTGCCCCCAGCAAAGATTCCATTTCTGTCAGTTATAATATTACCGTAATACAACACTCAGAGGGAAAAGCCCAGTGCTAATTAGGGCTCAAGAAGTCAGTGGACTTGATGTACAGAATGGGGTGTTTAGTTTTATGATATGGCTATGGGTTACATGAGAGACTAATAAAAGAACTCCATAAAATGTGGCTTGGAGCAATGGGGTTGCAGCCTCTGCCAGAGGGTCAGCCCTGTTCAGAAGTTGTTTTAGATCAGGGCTGATGTCTAGCTGGTATGGCCGTTCTGGTTCGTATTACTGAGTGGTCAGTAAGTGCCAGACAGTGTTCCTGGAACTGGAGATGCTACAGTTATCTGGAAGTGGTTCCGCTCTGAGAGACTGTCCAGTCCATTGGGGCCAGAACTAGGTAATCAAGGAGACCAGGGGAATCAGGGGTGGCTGAGCTTTGCTTCTGAAGCCCATTCCTGGCCTGAGTGTATCTTAGGTGGGGGCCATCCTGGGTGACTCTTGGTGAGAAGCTTCTGTCTGTGGTTCTGCTTTGCCCCCACAGGTTACTAATAGCCTGGTGGGTCCACTGAGAGCATGGAGTTCCCAAGAGGGGCTCTCATTGTACAGACATAGAGGTGGAGAGAGGCCAAGGACTGCTTGCCATCTCCCTCCTTACACTCTAAAATTGCTTGTAAGCATCAAACATTTTATGATGTATTTCGCTGAATTAACAGTTGAACAGAATAATTCTTTAACCTTTCATAAGAAAGAAATATTAGACAATCTGGATAGGAAAAAAGAAGATAATAAAAATTATAAATTCACCATCTAGAGACAACAATTTAGCATTTGTTCATGCAAACTTTTTTTTTTTGGATGCACAGGCTCAGAGGCCATGGCTCACGGGCCCAGCCGCTCTGCGGCATGTGGGATCTTCCCGGACGGGGGCACGAACCCGTGTCCCCTGCATTGGCAGGTGGACTCTCAACCACTGTGCCACCAGGGAAGCCCTCATGCAAACTTTTTTTCTGGATGTATTTCCTATTTCTACAGATGAGGGAGATACATACACACATACATACACATATGTATGTACTTTGGAATCTGCCTTTTTCACTCACTTTCCCAATGAGTGCAATTTTAAAGTAAATCCAATTATTCAAAAATATTTAATTAATGCACACAACTTTGAAGGACTCCCCCCCCAAAATCCAGCAAGAACAAAGAGCTTAATCGTCTTAGAAGTAAATGAGGCACTTGCCAGGGATAGCAGATCAAATTTTTCCTGTTTTTACATTAAGACATGGGATGGAAACTTTCATATGCTGGTGCCCTGGCTGCCGTTGACTCTCAGTTCCAACTTGGTGTTCTCCTGATGAGGCAACCAATGGAAATGATGGGGGCGGAGCCTGGAGGAGCAAGGGCAGGTGAGGCTCTGTTAGAGACTTGGGGAAGGGAGTCAGGGCAAGGCTTTCTCGAAACCCTTTGAGCCAGTGGATGAAGAGATTGGGGATGAGGCTCTAATTGAGGTGGGTCCTGGGCTACATCAGCACTCATGACCGGCCCCCCTCCCACCAGGTTGCTGAGGATAACCTGAACCTGGAGACACAGTGGAACTGAGAGGTTTGCTCCCTCCTGGTGCCATGATTGAGACCGACTCCCTATATGCAACTACTTACAGGACTAATGTCACCTAAGGAATTCACAGAGCTGGCCCTGAGTTTCAAAGAACAGATAGAAAAAAAATAAGTGTGCATCTAAGAGGGATCAGAGGGCACAGAGGGAGAGGAACCCACCAAACAGCTAGAATGTCAGCCTGAGCAGAAGTAACAAGGACCTTCAAACACAGTAGAAAAGGAAAACAAAGACTTCCTGGAACTAAACATATTTTTAATGAAACTCCTAACTGGATGAATTAAATCAGGAGATGGACTTGACAGATCAAATGCAAGAGCATCCTATACCCAGAACAAAAATACAAAGAGATGGAAATCATGAGGGCAAAATCAGAAACCTGAAGGCTGGACCCAGGAGACCTAAGATGTCAGTAATAGGAATTCTGGGAGGAGGAGAAAAATAAACACATGAAGGAGAGGGAATAATTAGACAAATGACATATGATTACTTCCCCGAGTGAAGAAGACTCGGGTCTGAGTCTTTGGTTTAAAAAGAACTCATGGGGTCACTAGGACTGAAAGCCACACACCTAAGCCCATCCAGATAAAATTCTTGAACAGCAGGTGTAAAGAGAACCTCTTGCCCCCTTCACTACAAAGAGGAAAACATTAATTACAAAAGAAAAGAAAAGAAAAGAGGTGGGTGTCATGTTTCTCACTTACCATAATGGGAACTTGAAGACATCTACAAAACACTGGAGCAAGCCAAAATACTTCTTGCTGGTCAGGGTAAAAAAAAAAAAAAAGAAAAGAAAAATCACCCAGATATCCAGGCAATGGTCTGAGAAAAATACTCTAGAAAGAACCGTAAGCAAATGAAAAAATGAACTGAAGCAGATAACTCAAGACAAGAGAAGGTGAAGAAGAGAGAATCTGGTGGTGGGCAATTGGGCCTCACAATCTCTCTGTCTCTTTGTCTCTGTCTTTTCCTCTCTTTCTGAGGCAGTTGCAACAGAGGCCTCTGCTCAACCCAAGGGGAAATTTGGAGCTGAGGTTGTTCTGAGTTGAGATGGATCTGGCTTTTTCACCCTAGTAGTTGCATAGAGGGTGCCCCCGGGAAGGGAGCAGACCTGGGGTTTGGCAGCTTCTTTCAGCTTCAGGCAATTCCTGGAGAGAGAGAGACTTAGCTGTGAGCTGTCAGCAGCCAACACTCCTTCAGCTGGGGGCTGGGATGGGCGTAGCCCCCAGCATCCCTCACAATGCATGCATGGTGCCATTTATGTAAAATGATGTGTATCAATACATACTTAGGCTGGGGAATGTTCAATAATCAGCTCTTGGGGAGATGGGGGCTGGTGTGTGTGTGTAGGGGTTTTCCGATTTGTAGCCTCTGTTGATTCTTGTGGTATAAATACTCCTATCATGGCTGATCTCAAACTACCAATGTGATGGGACTGCAGAGGGACCTGGGACCAGACCCAGCAGTTGCTCAGGAGGTTCAGGGAAGGGGAGGGGAGGACAGAAGGAGCAGCAGTCACAGCATCTTATATGGTGGGAGTGCTCTGATACTGGGAGTTTTTCTCTGTTTGCCTCATTTTTTCTATTTGGTCACCTTTCTAACCCTTGTCCCTACAGTCCACTTCGGTAGGTTGGTATTCTTTGCAGGCAGTATTCTAGAAGAAATCTCAAGCCCTTGTTCTCACCAAGGCCCACGTGACCATCAAAACTCAAGGCTGCTTCTTGGTGGGCGGTGCTGGGGATGGAATTGAGACGGTGTGGAGGGGTTGGCAGACCTCCTCTGAAAGGGGCCCGTGGTACATATTTTTGGCTTTGTGGGACCTATGGTCTCTGTTGCAACAACGAATCCCCCGCAGGACATAGTCTGCTGACTCTTGCTGTACATGATACCATTGTGTCATAAACCTCACTGAAGTGTTAATTATGGCTATTTCAAAGGCCCCAGAGGAAAGAGCCCCTTCACTCTAAACCAACCAACGAGTTCAGACCAACCAACGCAGAGGAGGGATTTAGGCCTTGGGGGAGGTTTTGTGGTTTAGCCGCCTTCTCCAGGAATGTGTTTTAACTTCTGTTCTCCAGGGTTAAATAAAATGAGGAAAAGAGAATGCCTGGGTTAAAAAACAAAAAATAAACTGACAAAAAAATCCCAAACCCCTCAAAAACCAAAAACCCAATTCTACTCACAAACTCTTTATTTATTAGGATCCTGTTAATTTTGGATTTGGAAAAATAGACCTGGGGAGGAGGCAGGTCCTCCCCACAGCACTAGCTCTGAAGGAAGGTACCATAGACAGATCAACAGAGTAAACCAAGCCTGGCAGCCAGAGCCTTCATAGGGCTAAGACATCTTCCTCAGCTTTCTAGGATTATTTGAATGTTAATATGAAATCTATGTCTATTTATAAAAGTGAATCATGTAGGACCTTTTTTTGGGCAACACTTGATGAATACCTCTAGCATGTTGGTGTAGATACTAAGCTACGGTTTTCCAAATATATTTGGGGCAAGTCTCTTTTCCCCAGGCTTCAAGTTTTCCATCTTTGAGTATTTACAATGTCTTGGACAGCCTTGTGAATTTTTGTGACTGTATTAATGCGGATTCTTAAATTTCACCCAAACAATTAAGCCCCTCTACTCAAAAGAACTGCCTTTGACTCCTGACCTGTCCTTGCCTTGTAACTCCATGAGGTGGACAGCATGACAGGTGAGTTCTATTTTGGCTTTTGGTTTGTCTTAGAATGTGTGTTTGTGTGTGTGTGTGTGTGTGTGTGTGTGTCTATAGTTTGGTGGTTGAAAAAGTTCTTCTGTAGTAGAAAGTCCTTGCCTTATCATTACTTTGCTGATTTTCCCCTGGTGACCAGGAAGCTCAGAGCTGAATTTAGGGTCCATAGAATCCCACCCTGGTTCTGTTGCAATGATCTTTCGGTAATTCTCAGTCTTTTTGGGTTCACAGATCTCTATGGGAATTTGATGGAAGCAAAGAGGAATCCCTCAGGAAGCGTTCCTATCTGCCCACAAAACATAGGCAGAGAGTGGATTCTGATCATTCCCTTTGGAACTCTTCACCTACCATATTTTACATTTTATTTGTGTTACTTTCTGGTGCCCCCAGTGCTGACGCACCCAGGACTTCAAGGAACAGAGGAGGTGCTGACAAGCGTTGGAAGGGTTTCTTTGTTCTCATGCAAAGGGGGGAGAGGTAGTCAACGCTTTCTACCTCAAGAGTATTTCTCCAGGAACGTTATCACAACTTAGTCCTGTAGTACACGGGGAAAGCACCGGACTAAATTAAAGCCCTGGTTTTATCACTAGCTAGTTCTGAACTTAAACAGATCCTTTCACTTCAGTGAGCCTCCATTTCCTTAACTGTAAACTGAGAGCCCTACCCAGGCCAGTGGGAGATTAAGGGAAAGACTCTCTGTTGGAAGAGCTGGCTACTCTGTAAAGTGTGGTGCAGATGACTGGTTCCTTGGGATCCTCCCTAACCGGCACTCAGTTAAACCAGGACCAAGGGGTGGGACACGCAGAGGCCATCACCTTGCCTTGTACAGTGATGGCCACTGACTGATGACCCAGCAGTCCTGGGCCTCCATTTGTTCCTTCCCGATCCAGGAAAAAGATGAACATTTAAGGAGGCTCTAACATGACTGAAATGAGCAGGTGGAAACTGACAGACCAGTGAGGGGCCTGGGCCCTGTCTCTGGGATGCCCAGGAGAAATGCCAGTCTCTCCCACAGATCACCCCTCCCCCTCGTCCACACTTGCACAGTTACACCTCCTTGCAGCTCCAATGCAAGAACCAGCCCTACCACAGCCCCTTCCCTGACTGTGTTCTTTTTTCTTCTGCAGGCCACGGGATTCTTGCCCATAGGATTCCAGTAGCATTTACTGCTTGTTCTGTTTATCTGTTACTAAAGCTAAATTCAGTAGCCTTCTGAGTACTTACCACGTAGAAGGCTTTGCTCTGATCCGAATCCTATATTGCTTGATTCATCATTTTCAGATTGTTCATCTCTATGTGTGTTGTACCCCTTACGGAATGGGATCACTTGTGATACATGCATCCTCCAACCATCCAGCACATTGGAGTTGACAGCTAAATGTCCATGCTTAAGTCAACTCCCCCTGGCTACAGCTCTGGTATAACATAGTGGTGAGTCAAACACATAATTATAAAAGTTATACATGCCCAGCTTAAAGAGTTTGGGAATATATAAAATATAAATTTACTTAGAATCCTACCATCCAGTGATAACTTCTATTAATATTTTAGTACATTTTATTTTAACCTTCTTTTATCTATGTATTTATCAAATAAGGAACCATCTATGTGCAAAGTTTTACACTTCACATTTTCCCACGCCATTACAAATTTTGAAAACATAATGCTGTATAAGATTCCATTACAGTGATGAGCCATCTAATTTATCAATTTCCTTATTAGACACGTAGGCTGCCGTCAAGTTTTCCACTATTACAAAACTTATTGTAATGAGAACTTTTTGTACATATGTCTACATGTCTTCATGCCTACATCTCTGATTATTTCCCTTCAATGTGTTCACAGAATTTAAATTACTACTCAGAGGGTACAGAACTTCTAGTTATTGGTTTGTATTACCAGATTGTTGTCAGAAAGGATTATCCTTTCTATCCCATCAGCAGAGAAGAATGCCTGGTTTATTATTCCTACACTAACATTAATTATCTTTTTCAACATTTACAAATTTGATTAGCGCAGATGAGTTTCAGTTTTGCCTTTCCATATTTCTTTGATCATTAGTGAGCTTAAACATTTTAATATATTTATGAGAAACATTATTTCTTCTCTGAATTATCTGTTGATGTTTTTGACCATTTAAAAAAATGAAGTGTTAGTATTTTTCCTATTGGTGTGCTACAGATGCATTACTGAAGGTTTTAAAAACCATTTTAAAATCAACTGAATATTTTTTTTATTTTTTTATGCCACATCATCCACGGCCACCTTAGAAGAAAGACCAATTCCAGACACAAAGAGCAGTTCCTTCAGTTATTTTGGGTTATTGAATCATTCCTTCTTTGCATAAAGAATGCATAAGAAAATGTGAGTGCAGTTTTTTCCTCAACACACTTGCTTTCCATTAAGTGGATCTTTTGTACTGAAACAGATTTACAGACCCACCAAACCAGAGGATGCCGCTGGCAGAAAGATGAGCCTGGTCTGGTGTTAATGCAAGAAGATCCCTGTGGTACAGACGCAAGATGTTGGACCGTACGCAGAATTTTCTACCTCTGCCTTCTTTCCTTCCTTGTTCCTTTCTTTTTACTTTTTTATAACTGTAAGGTGTCAGGAATGGCTTGACTCGTTAGACGATACATATTTTTCAGAAAGTCTCCATTTTTTACATCTCCCTCAGGTAATATAGATTCCTGAAAGCATTGAAAGAATAAAGACATTTTTTGAAATCCATTCATAAGATGCGCAAGAGGAATTCATCACAGAAACTTCAATCAATCTTAAAAAAAAAACAAAAAAAACAGGCTTCAACAACTCCCTTGAGATAGGTGTTAGTATTATCTTGATTTTACTTATAGAAGAGGCTTAGAGAAATTAAGCAATTTGCTCAAGGTCAACAGCCAGGAGAGCAATGACACCAAAACTTGGACCCAGTTCTGCTGATGCCAAAGTACCAGTTCCAGTCTATACTACTCCGCTAAGCTAGTTAGTTATAGTTCTTAATTACATGTGATCAGAAAGCTCTAGTTACAGCCTTTATACGTGATCAGAAAGCTTGTGTCAGATCTATGAGGCAGGTGCTGTAGGAAACTGGGCACAGTGTTGGGACATCTGACGAAGTATTGGACCATGGAGCCAGGAGAGTCAGCAAATTCGTGAATGAGAGAGAATCTTTAATGGGGGTCAGGGTGACCATCTTTCTGGCGAAAGGGCAAAAGGGAAAATTGGACAAACTGGTATAGAAAGACAAGGGATGGTTAGAGAAGGAATCAAGGTGGTTTCTCTTCTTCCTCAAAGACTCTAGGGGCTCCACGTTTGAGTCTGTTTCAGAATAATTGTGAAAAGCTGTGGAGTTTCTAGGACGATGGGGGAAGAAGAGTTGGCCCCAGGAAGATGGAATTGAGCCAGGTGAGGCTCTATCAAGGTGTAGAAAGGAGGACCCAGGAGCAGGGAGCTGGGCTTCGGGAATGGTGGGGCTTGAAGGCGGAAGGCACAGCAATAGGGGAATGGATGCTCCTTTCTCATGAGCTGTGTGATGAATTGTTCTCTTAATCAAGTTCCCATCATAACTGCAAACAGTGCTCTCAAGAACTGGGACGTAGAAGACGGGAAAGAGTGCTTTCTGGTTTGGTGCAACAGATCCTCTAAGACAGTGGCTTTCATGCTTTTTTGGATTATGACTCACAGCAAGGAGTACCTTTTCTCTCATAAGCCAGTGACATATACATATCTATGAAACTGAAGCAAAATTTCATGGGACAATGCTTACCCTTACTATGCAAGATACATGCTGGTATTTTCTATTCTCTTCTGTTTCATTTGAGCAAAATTGCTGGCACCTCTCACGAAACTGATTTCTCAATCCTTGAAAGGGTCATGACTTACTGAGTGAAAAATCAGTTCTGAGTTGCACCATGTGTCAACAAACAGAATGTCCACAGAAGCCATCCTTCGGTTCTTACAAACCACAATCAACAGCATGGAAGTAGTTGCATGCAGAATTTTTTCCAAGGCAAAGAGATAAAAAAGCAAGGTTTTAATTCTGGTTAGCCTGTGTCCTTATAGCCTGCAACTAACTTCCATTGCAGTGGATTTTCAGATTGTCCAGAATGTGATTCTGTAAGGGGGGATTGGAAACATGTTCTGAATATGTGCAGAAGTTTCCTGAGTACCATTTCAGTCCAGTCGTGCTAAGCCTGAGATAGGGCGTCATCCCTCGCAAGCTTCCCAGGACCCCTTGGCTGTGCACACAAAGAGAACCCAGCTTTTCTTGTTTGGGCCTTTGCTCCTTCCTATTTGATTGAATCTGAAGAGGAACTGTTTGCCTTAGGCCGTACATCCTGAATCACAATCAGGATGCTGCTGGCACAGAAAAGCTGCTCCCACCCTTGCCTGAAATAACTGAACAGGGAAATAGAGTTAGTTCCTCCCATCCCCAGCCTTAAAGAAAGAGGCTCACAATTTATGGTGTGCTGGCAATACATCAGAAGTCAGTTCAGTCACTTACAGTAAAATCAAGGAGGGCAGAACAATGAATATAAAGTGAGATTAAAACACCTCATTAAGGGACAAATTGTTCAGTGGACCCCAGAATAACGATGCTTTGGTCTTTGTTAGCCAGACTCCAGTGGCCTTCAGAGATGCTTCCTTGTCTATAGGATATGAAAAAAGGTATAAAACCACATCCTCAGCTTTTTCAATTCTTCAACAAATATGCTTTATTCAAACTATCTATCAGGGACAGTGCTACTAGGATATATGGGTTCCCTAGGGCTGCTGTAACAAATTACTATAAACTGGAGGGCTTTTTTTTTTTCTTAAATTTAATTTTATTTTTGGCTGTGTTGGGTCTTCATTGCTGCATGCAGGCTTTCTCTAGTTGTGGCGAGCAGGGGCTACTCTTTGTTGTGGTGCATGGGCTTCTCACTGCGGTGGCTTCTCTTGTTGTGGAGAATGGGCTCTAGGCGTGGGGGCTTCAGTAGTTGTGGCACGTGGGCTCTAGGTGCGTGGGCTTCAGTAGTTGTGGCGCACCGGCTTAGTTGCTCCGCGGCATGTGGGATCTTCCCGGACCAGGGATCAAACCCGTGTCCCCTGCGCTGGCAGGAGGATTCTTAACCACTGCGCCACCAGGGGAGTCCTAAACCTGGGGGCTTTAAACAACAGGAATTTATTCCCTCGTAGTTGTGGAGGCCAAAAGCCTGAAATCAAGGCATTGTCAGAGCTGCTCTCCCTTCAAAGGCTCTAGAGGAGAATCTTTCCTTGTGTCGTCCAGCTTGGTGGTCCTTGCATTCCTTGGCTTGTGGCTGCATCACTCTAACCTCTGCCTCCAGCTTCATGTGGCTTTCTCCTCCTTCTGTGTGTCTCTCCTTTACGTGTTTCTTATAAGGACACTCACTTGTCATTGGACTTAGGGTCCACCGACCTGGGTAATTCAGGCCGATCTCATCTGGAGATCTTTAATTATATTTGCAAAGACCCTTGTTTTTCCAAGTAAGGTCTCATTCATAGGTACTGATGGGGTTAGGACATGGCCATATCTTTTGGAGGGCCACCATTCAACCCACTATACAGAGGATACAAAGTTGAAAAGGACAGGGTTGTTTTTCTCAAGGAGCTCAGTCTAGCGGGGGAGGCACTAGTTATATAACCATGTCAAAAGGATAACCACAGACAGAGCTGTGTTCCATGGGCTGAGGGGATCTTACGCGTTTGTACTGGGAGTTGATGTGGAGGTTATAGTGGGGCAGGGAGGGAGTGGTTTTGTTTTTGACTTTTAACTTTTGAACTCTACAATTTTCTGGCATCTAGAAATCACTATAAAATAAGTCCAGTCTGAATGGAGAGGATTAATAGCAGCAGAGCCAGGTCTTTTGGGTCTGGCTGAGTTCAGCCAACCCTGCTGGTTGTCTGGAGGTTTGGGAGAGTGGGCAGGAGAACGAGGGAAAGACGAAGCCCAGGAATTGGTTGGGATTGTTGATGGCTACGTTGCTGGCAGGTGAGGAGTAAGACACCATGAAATGGGTTATTGGCTTTCTCTGTGGTGGAGAAGGAAAAGAGGGGCATCTGTGTCTGCCGCCCAGCCCAAGTCAGAGCATGTGGGCTCTGGTGGGGGGATGCCACAGGCCAAGGCAGCTGCTCCACTGAGGTCTTCTTCTCTCCAAGGCCTTGGGCCAAATGATCTGCCTGGGCCTGGCGCGGAGGAGGAGGGCATCTACTGCCTCTAGACGTGCTGGGGACCAAAATAGAGGTGGTTTGCACATTTCTCTTTTGGGGACAGCGTTTTTACAATCTTTACAGATTATCACCTCCAGGTCTCTATGCTCTCCTGGGACTTCACCTTCTTTGTGATTATTAAAAAAATTCTTGGTAATAGATATTATGGAATTATTGTTAATATGCTTGGGTGTAATACACTTGTTATGAAGAAGAACATCTTTATTCTTTTTTTTTTTTTTTTGCGGTACGCGGGCCTCTCACTGCTGTGGCCCCTCCCGCCGCGGAGCACAAGCTCCGGACGCGCAGGCTCAGCGGCCATGGCTCACGGGCCCAGCCGCTCCGCAGCATGTGGGATCTTCCCGGACCGGGGCACGAACCTGTGTCCCCTGCATCGGCAGGAGGACTCTCAACCACTGCGCCACCAGGGAAGCCCCAGAACATCTTTATTCTTAAAGAGCACATACTGAAGTATTTATGGGGGTGTTACTAATGTTGACAGTTTCCAATATTTCGGTGAAAATGTAGATAGAGAAACCTAATATCACAAAAATGTTAAGAATTGCTAAGTCTACGTGGGAGGTATGTGGATGTTCATTGCTCTATTCTTTCAACTTTTTTCTGTACTTGAAATTATTCTTAATAGAAATCTTGGGGGAGATTGGGAAAGGAAAATTCTTGAAGCAGAGTTTCTTGACCTATGTTTCATGGGCTCTGGGGGAAGAGGTAGATGAGCTTCAGGGACCAGGAAGCTTCGAAATGTATACGTCAACCTTTGCGGGGTGTGTGTTTCTATCCTCATTATAGGGAAAGGTTTATTGTTTGCAGCTCTTCTTCGATTCTCAAATGGATCTATGACTCCCCTTCCTCAAGATTAAACACGATTGCTTCAAACTAGAGATAAATTTGCAAGTATTAAGCCTTTTGTAAATGGATACAAATGACCAGAGTCTGTTAGCATGTATCATTAGTACTTTGTTGCAAAATTTGAGTTAGTTTATAAATATAAATTGTATACTACTCTGTCTTTATATTCATTAACTCATTTCTTGGTTTTTCTTAATTATTACTTTTCCTATTACAGTTGACTTCTTAGACTTTCTCATAGTTTAAAATACTAATTGCTAATATGAACATATCTGTTTTCCTTTGCACAAATTTAAAACTGAAATAATCATTTTGCTATCTTTCTACATTATAAAAATAACATAGCCTCACTATATACAGTAAGTCTCCAACATATGAACGAGTTCTGTTCTGAGAGCACGTTCTTAAGTCCAATTTGTTTGTAAGTCCAACGAAGTTAGCCTAGGTACCCAACTAACACAACCGGTTATATAGTACTATACTGTAACAGGTTTATAATACTTTTCACACAAATAATACATACAAACAAACACAAAAAATAAAGACAACGTTTTTAATCTTACAGTGCAGTACTTTGAAAAGTACAGTAGTGCAGTATAACAGCTGGCATACAGGGGCTGGCATCAGTGAACAGGCAAGGAGAGTTACTGATGGGAGGAGCGAAAGGAGGTAGGAGGTGGTAGGGCTGAAGGATCATCAGCAATAGGGGATGGAGGGCAAGCTGCAATTTCACTCACGCCTGACGTTGATGGAATGCACGTTTGCATCTTTGAAAGTTCGCAAGTAGAAGGTTCCCATGTATGGGACCTACTGTACAACTTGTAAAATACAGAAATGTATAAAGAAGGAAATAAAGTTACCATTAACCCATGCTCCGGAGGTAACCGCTATTAACATCTTGTTGGATTTCTTGCTTTTGGTGTGTAGGCTCCTTTGTGTATGCATATATATATATATATATATATATATATATATGAAACAAAATTGAATAAGGCTGAACATGCAGGTTTATATTATGCAAAAAAGAACATTTCAAACTTCTTTACACTTTATTGTCTCCCCAATTTTTATATAGAAGCATTCAAATGGATTTCTTCAGTCTTCATACTAAATATGGTTGTTCAAATCCATGTGTTTAGGTTTTAGTGAAGGCAACTTTTCCTTGAAATTTCTTATCTCTTCTGAGTACTTAATACCCTGACTAATATTATTTATGTTCAGTGCCTAGAGTTATAGTTTGTTTTACCCATTGAGTTGCCCCCATGAGATGGGCAAGAAAAAAACAATTTTTCAGTCCATACTGGTTGTTCGGGATAAAACCAAAATACAGCTGACCCCAAACAGTTGGAAATCTGGGGGGGCTGGGGTTGGGGGGGTGAAATCTGAATAAACTCTGATTTGTGTGTAGCTTGTTCTTACAGGTCTGATATTTGGTGAAATCAGAAGAGTGCAAAGGAAAAAAGCTATGGCTGCCTGCAGGAGCCACTTCTGGGAGCCAGGAGGTTGCCATAGAAACGTCATGGGGCAGAGGAGAGACAAGGGGCCTGGAGAGACTGGCCCTGTGACACTTGCCATCCCCTGACTTTCAGTGGCACTTGGTGAGGCCCTAAACACATTTTGATTTGAACCAGGGTTATTTGTTTACTTAGGTTAATGTACGTAAAGCGCCAACAAAGTGTCTGGTACTTAAATAGCACAAAACAAATACTAATCCCCTCATGTCTTATTAGACCATGAGTTCTTGGGAGGCATTTGTGCTGTTCAGTGCAGTGTACAAGAACATGGGGCTTGGATCCAGATAAACGTGTTTAGGGTGTTGAGTTTGCCTCTTATTAGCAGTATGACCTTGGGAAACTTGCCTCGTAAGGATAGTAATGGTTCCCATCTCTTTGGGTGAAAGGATTAAGTAAAACCATCCCTATAATAAAGGCTAATGTTTATCAAGGGCTTACTACATTCAGAGCACTGTTTTAAGTGCTTTAGGTAGGACCATCTTATTTAATTCACATAAATCTGTGTGCTAGGTGCTAGCATCCCCATTTTGCAGATAAGAAAACTGAGGCACAGAGAAGTTGAGTAACGTGTCCAGGGTCACAAAGCTATTACATAGGTGAACTGGGATTTGAACTGAGGAAGTTAGTACGCTGGTATTTTTACATCCCACTTTGCACGGCACCTTGCCATGGCCATCCCCTCATTGCCTGTTTTTGCGACTGCACGTCTGGGAAATACTCGCTGAATAACATCTACAGGAGTGTCTTTCCAGGTTGCTAGTTAGAAGAGCACTAAATGTATTCCTGTTGTGAATAAGAAAATGTGCTCATTTAGAAAAGAGACACATCATATGAACCTGATGTTCAGTCCTTTCAAATAGTAGCTTTAAAACTCACGTTTGAATAACCTCATGGAAGAAAGGTTGGTCTGGTGAACATTTGTGCTGTTGCCTATTCCAATCAGCTGTTGAGTTGGGCTTCTGCCAGATTAATGACTCTTCTCCCATATGCAAGAGGGCGAAGCATGAGAGCGTTACCAGGAGCTGAGGCCTGAACGGGCTTGCAGGGCCGGGCTCCCAGCCGAGTCACACCCAAGTGGTGGGGACTTGCCAGCTTTGGGGCTAAGCTATTGCCCCAGAGAGGCTGAGCAGGGCGGGCAGCTCTTTGCTTGCTGATTCTCTGGTCTCCCAGGGCAACAGCCTAGAGCCGACTGTGGTCACCCGTGAGAATGCTCCTCCTGACTCAGCGGGGCCTGCAGTGCCCCAGGGTGTGGCTGTGTGTTCCTTTGGGCCCCTCACAGATAGCATTTATTTCAAAGGATATCACTGCGCCATTGTGGGTTGAGGGCTAGAGCTGCAGGACGGAAGCTGCTTGATTTGAGCCCTATTAGGTCCTCAGAAAGTGTCAACTTTTAGAACTTTTCACTGGGCTGCTGCTGTATGCATAAAGTGCCTAAGATGGAGACATTTGAAGCCTGTTAGTGTATCAGTACATCTGTGACCATCAGAAAGAGACTAGAGACCTCGGTTCCAGAATCAACTCTTTCTCTTATGTGTTGTATATTTGGAAAGATCACTTTCTCTCCTCTAGGTCTCAGTTTCCTCATCTGGAAAATTAATATAACTCCTGCCCTACCTGTATCCCTGGATTCGGCTGAGAACCAGACGGGATGATGAATATAAAAATGGTCACTAAGCAGCCAGGGCTACCTGAAAGCAAAGAGCCATTTCTTCTCCTGCAGGTGAATCTTCCTGCCCTGGTTCCTAGTGATCCTCCTGGTTTTTTGTTTTTTTTTTTTTTTGGCGGTACGCGGGCCTCTCACTGTTGTGGCCTCTCCCATTGCGGAGCACAGGCTCCGGACGCGCAGGCCCAGCGGCCATGGCTCACGGGCCCAGCCACTCCGCGGCATGTGGGATCTTCCCGGACCGGGGCACGAACCCGTGTCCCCTGCATCAGCAGGTGGACTCTCAACCACTGCGCCACCAGGGAAGCCCCCTCCTGTTTTTTTGAGTCTCTGACCATGGCCAGCTTGGAGGACTGGAGTTTGATTTTATTAAGAGAAGTGGCTGGATTCCTGACCTGAGAGGCCAGCAAGGAGCTCCAAGAGGAAGGACAGTCTCAGGAAGCCGGTGTTGGAGGCTATGGGATTAGCCATGCCTGTTCTGTCTGGAAGCCTCCCTCCATTTCCAGCTTCAGTGGGTTGGGCTCTCATTTTACTAAAGGGGGTAATGAGGGTTTCCTTAGTGCCTCTCAGTCTTCCGTGGTACTTTTGGGAACTCTTTTATGTTAGGGGTACATATTGGAGTGCAGGGCACCTTCAGAATGAAGGTTACTTTGGGAGGGGGAAGTGGAGGCCCCGACAAGGCTAAATCTCAGCTCATAAGGACCAAAAATGAGAGGAAGAGAGGGAGGAGGAAAGAGGGGTGATGCTAGCCCAATGGCAGCTATGCTGGCTCTGATATGCTCACCATAGATTTTTTGGCAGGAACAACAGAAACTTTTCAGCCAATTCTTTTTTTGGGGGGAGGGAGTGGCACCCTTGTTCTTTGTACATTAAGATATAGCTGTTGTTGTACCAGAATAGTCTACTAATGGCTGCACAATGGTAGACAGGAGTGAGGTCTGGCCCCCAGGGTTCTGCACTCAGTTCCAGCTAGAGCATGCCCTCAGGGGAGTGACATAAAACTCGTGTCACAGAAAGTGAAGGGATGCTTAGTGAGGAGCATGAAACTTGCCTTCATATACCTGAGGACCCATCCTGGGGAAGGGTAGCCGGCTCTGTTAGCTCCCAGCCTTTCCTCCTCCTCCCCTACTCTCCAAGCTTTGGCTCATTATAAGCCAGAACTTTCTATAAGTCAAGATACCTAAATGTGGTGAAGCAGAAACTGCCTCACCTCATGAAGCAGCCCACGTGGAAGGGTCTCAGAGACACAGTGGGGTTGACCTAGCTGATGTCCCTCCAAGTCCTAGATCTCAAGGACTGAGTTTGCAAAGTTATGATCCGACCTACAGGAAGTTCACTCAGCAGTGCTCCAGAGCTTTCTCCATGATAAGAATATCCTTTAGGACTATATTGCTGGACCTTTCTCCATCACAGTAGGCCTTTGAGGTGCTGTAAAGTTCCACTGCCCTCTGGTTTTGCTGGGAGGGGAGGATGCCCGCATTTGTCATTCTGCATTCTGACTAGCCCCCTTTTTCACGTTTCTTCTTCCTTCTTTATTCTCATTTTGTTGCTCTTGGCGCTAGAATTTGTGGAGATTTGTTCATAACAAGTACCCTCTGCCTTGAGAAGCATGTGGAATGTTTTAGGAATATTTTTACAGAGTCTCGGACCATATTTTTATGGCTGGAAATTAACCAGAGAACTGCAAAAATGCAGGCTTGCTTATTCAGCTCTACGTCCTGATGACGAGCACTTCTCGCCTCCCGCTTCTGTTTTCTGGGTCCTTGGGCCATAGTTAGTCCTTAGACGGGATCCCTTCTCCTCCAACAGGACTATGGGTTCCATGAAGCTCTGTGTTTTTATTGTCAAGCCTTCTGGTCCTCTCTCACCTCCCAGATACCGTCTTTCTCCTTGATTTCCTTTTTTCTCTCTTCAGTCCTTGCTACCTCCCCGTGCCCCATATTTCTTCCATCTTAGAAGCCCCTCTGAGCTGAAGGTACTTGTCTGCAACGGTGTTTACATCTGCTTCCTGAAGGACTCACGGAGATCATGCATTTGGGGCGGGGGGTTAAGATGAGTGGGCTTTAGTTCCCTTTAAAAGGGCTTTAGCCATTCAGACTATTGTTTCTCTTGGGAACTGAATTGACAGGATGCTAATCTCCAGCAGACATCCTTTTGCTCAGCCATGCTTGTGAAGTCCTTGTCCATTTCCACATTTTCATCATTTTGATCATTCTTTTCAGATTCTGACATAAAGGCAGGTGTCTGGTGCCTTTTATTTTCAAATTTAAAATGTTAAAGGCTGAGGAAAACTGTCTGAGTCTTTAATGCTGGTCCACAGAGTTCTGTTTGTTGGCCCATGACCCCACATCAACTGAGCGTTATTGACGACTGTGCAACAGGTGTTGGGGGTCCGCACGGGGACAAAGGAACTGGTGTGACAGCTTCCTGCCCTCGGGCACTCAGAGTCCAGCCAAGGAGACTCCCCTAGGGCACGGTGAGGGCCAGACCAGGTGCTGTGGGTGCACCGAGGGGGAAGGCTTGAATTCTGCTTGAGTGGAGATGGTGTAGGAAGGCTGTTCAGCTAAAAAGGTGAAATCTCAGGTGGGTCTTAAAGTACCTGAGGAAAACCTTGCTGGGAAGACAAGGATTCTGTGGGCAAGGAACAGCATTAGGAAAAGCAAGGGATTATGAGAAGAGCGGTATGTTTAGGGATCAGAGAGCAGCTGGGTGTAAGTAGAGGTAGTGGACGCGGGTGGAAGCCAGGGTGGGAGATTGGGGAGGTGTCTTAGAGGGGGCTCATGAAGGGCCTTGGGCGCCACGTGAAGAAGTTAGGATATTGGTGATGGGAGTCATATTGATCTCTGCCCCCAACCCCAATCACCACGACCTTTCTGGAGGGTTTTCCTGCCCACCAACTCACTGCGAGTTGCTCGGAGAGGCCTCTGTGAGTGTATTTCTGGCTGCAGAATGAAAGACAAACAGGAGTAGTGGGAGACTGGCCACAAGGAGATGGCCTCGGAGGATTCTGTGATAATCCAGGTGAGAACCGTGGAGCATCCACAAGACAGGCAGCCTCTGCCTCACGGACCGCACGTCAATACTGCCCGCCAGGTCCAGCGACAGTGCCTCCCCTGGTGCTCAGGCTGCCTCTGGCTTGCTTCCCAACCTCTGTGGTCACCTATCACCTCCCTTCCCAGAACTCATCCTCTTGTTTACGGTGGCCCCTGACTGGGACTGCATCCCCAAAGCTCCCTCAGGCACTCCCCCCAGGACACACAGGCCAGATACATGGTGGGATGGATGAGGTGTAGCCTCGGGGGCCCCCCCGCAGAGGAACAGTTACAGGAAAACAGAAGTTCTCTGTGTCTCAGCTGAGTTTGGGTTGGACTCACCATTTCCTTAACATCCAATGCAGTCCCTGTGGCTGTCTGAGGAAAAGGATTGTGTGGGCTGAGGAGGCCTGCCTACATTAATGTGAACTCAAAGGCTTCCTGCTCACGGCATGGGATGGCTTCAGACCTGTTTTTGCAGGCCTTTTGGCTGCAACCGGGGGAAGTTCTTGCATGACATCACCCAGCTGAACATGTGCTTGTGTCATCCTCAGGAGCCCTGACAGCTCGCAGGGACTCTGCCAGCTTCCATCTCCCGGAGAAGAAGGCCTGTCCTCCTGGCCCTTCCCTCTATACTTTGCCTCCCAAGGTTTAGAGCAGTGTTTGCCTGAATGTTCTAGCTGTTCAGCAGACAAAAGATCTCATGGTGGTCCAAAACCTTTGGGAAGACTCTGGGTTGAAGAATGCTAAGTAGTTTAGTTCACTTCAGGCCTTCTCGAGATCTCTAATGTGCTAATACAGTTGGCCCTCTGTAGCCAGTGGAGGGTGGATTGTACTATGCCTTTTTTTTTTTTTTTTTTGGCTGCGTTGGGTCTTCATTGCTGCTCACGGGCTTTCTCTAGTTGCGGCGAGCGGGGGCTACTCTTCGCTGTGCTGAGCGAACTTCTCATTGTGGTGGCTTCTCTCGTTACGGAGCACGGACTCTAGGCGCAGGCTCAGTAGTTGTGGCGCACAGGCTTAGTTGCTCCACGGCATGTGGGATCTTCCCGAACCAGGGCTCAAACCCGTGTCCCCTGCATTAGAAGGCAGATTCTTAACCACTGCACCACCAGGGAAGCCCTACTATGCCATTGTATATGGAGGAGTTGAGCATCCCTGGATTTGGGGATCCACAGGGGTCCTAGAACCAATCCCACACCAATCGTGCATGATGACTATATATATACTATGAGTCTCCCAGAGCGGTTAAGAATATGAACAGTCCATTTTCCACACTTATTTGGCCAAGGCGCTTCCTCATGCCCCTTTCTTTGTTACCATGGAGGCTTTCCCTCTGGGGAAAAGGAACTCAGCTGGGGGCTGAACTTTGTGGAGAAGATTCTGAGAGCAGCTAAACTTTATCTCCTAGATTTTGGAGGGATTCTAATTAGGGTCAGCAACACCCCAATTTGCCTGGAGCAGTCTGTTTTGTTTTGTTTTTTTTTTTGCGGTACGCAGGCCTCTCACTGTTGTGGCCTCTCCCATTGCGGAGCACAGGCTCCGGACGCGCAGGCTCAGCGGCCATGACTCACGGGCCCAGCCGCTCCGCGGCACGTGGGATCTTCCCGGACCGGGGCATGAACCCGTGTCCCCTGCATCGGCAGGT